CACACACATACACAACAACAACACACACATACACAACAACAACACACACATACACAACAACAACAACATTAAGCCAAAATAAACTAAACTCAAAACAACACCAAAAATCCCTAAAAAATTATTTCCTGAAAGATACACATTATCTCTCACACAAGAAAATAAATTTCTGTCTTCAGGACTTTACCCTGGTGCTTTTAAGACCAGAATGAGGTGAAGTTAGAATGGGAGAAATAGCAAGCTAAGATTCATTTCAAACTCTGCTAACATTTAAATGAAAGTAAATGACAGACTGCAAATTGTCCCCCAAAACCATGCTCTTCTTCTTCTTTTGTCTTTCATTAACAGATTATTTCTTCTCCCATATTTTAGAACTGCTAAACTGGAAACCATTTCCCAGTTTCCCTATGGCTGTGTGCGGTTCCATGACCAAATTCTTGACACTGGAATGAGTGCAAGCAGAAGTGACCGAGGGACCTTTCTTGCCATTTTCTCACAAGTCAGCCTTGTTTTTCACTCTTCGTCTCTCTTCCCCTCTCCCTAGGAGATGCACATGTACAACTGAGACGTTAGTATTGAACTAAAGCCATGAGCTAGGTGTGAAGACAAATGGCTTTACCCTCCGCACTTAGGAGGCAGAAGCAGAGGGATCTCTGTGAGCTCAAGGCCAATGTGGTCTACATAGCGAGGCTCTCACGAATAAGCACACAAGGGTAATATCAAGGAATGGTAGGATCTGAGAGAGGGTGCAACTCTTAGAACTCACTTAGAGCAAATCTGTCTATCCACCCTCACCTGTGCCCACACTTCTGGATTACTGTGAAAGAAGGAAATAAATGTATATATTACTAGAATCCATATATTAACAGATGTAATTATAAAATCTTTAAAAGGCAGTACATTTGTTTTAGGTCTAAAGCTGAAAGAGCTAAGAGAATATAACTTTGTCCTATAAAAAATGAGGGAAAAGACGCTTCTCTAAACGTGACATGTACAGAGTCCCAGCAGCAAGTCAATTGCTCTAGGACTTTCACAAGTGTCCTGAAAGGAGACTTGGGTTGATAACCAACACTTAAAATAGAAACAGAAATGGCATTCAAAGCAAAGATGTGCTTTCAGTAATCAAGACTTCTATGAATAAAAACTTATTTTATGGTTTGGATTTGAAATGCCCCCTCTCCCCTGCTTTTATGTTCAAACATTTAGTACCCAGACAGTGATGTTAATTTGGGAAGTTGTGGAGTCTTATGGGGTGAGGCATGAATGATAGGTCATTAGAAATGTACCTTTTAAGCTACGGCCATGCCTGTCCCGGCTTGCCTTTTCTGCATGGCCTGGTCCTAGTCCACATGTAGAAACCTATGACCACACATTCTTCCTGCACAGACTCCACCATGCCTTCCCTGACGTGAGGAACTGAAATCCCCTGAAGCCATGAGGCAAAATAAACATTTCTTCCCAAACTTGCTTCTGTTGTGTTTTGTTACAACATGCAAAAATAACTAATGCACCTTACAGTAATAAAATGTGTTAAGTCTGTTATTTTATAAGAGGACATAATAACTAATATAAAACAGTATAGATCACATATTAATATGTAATCTAGTGGAGTCAGATCAGAGCTGTTGAAACTTAGGCTATTTTGTTAACTTACGTTTCATGGGTACCAAAAAAGAAGATGGGATACTTGTTGGCTGGAGGCTTCACAGCTCCCTCTGGGAGTTCATCAATCTATTAAAGATAAATTCAGTTATGAAAGAATGTTGTAAACACAAGAGAAACAATGTTTTAATAATTTATTGCCAATTTCAAAATAATATTAGTGTAATAAAAATTCTAAGTTTTTTCTCAAACCTAGCAAAATTCTTCTAAACATCCTATTTGGTTCTATTTAAAGCTGTAAATTTGAGGCTGAACTATTCATGCCTTTTGACTCAACAGAATTACTCCTACTCCTGGAAATCTGCTCTATTGAAATGAAACAAAAGCTGGACTTTTGACAGGGTGTCCCTGTTGCTCTGAAGCCTGTCCTGGAACTCATTCCGTAGACCAGGCTGGCCTCAAACTCACAAGAGATCCGCCTGCCTCTGCTTCCAGAGTGCAGGGATTAAAGGTGTGAGCCACCACTGTCTGACATCAAAAGCTGTACTTTTAAAAGTAATGACAAACACATATCCCTAGAATACATTTTAGCATAGGGGGTATGAGAACTAATAATGTACTATTATGCAACCATTGATCTGGACCACGCTGAGTTTCTCTCTCCAACCACATAAGACTTAAAGATACACAATTATTATTTCACTTCCATGTTGCAGATTCTATAGCTTTTTGTTGCATATCCATCATTCCTAGTTACGTATCTGAGCAATTTCTGTTTTTCTTGTTTTTGTTTTTGAGACAGGGTTTCTCTATAGCTTTGGAGCTCGTCCTGGAACTAGCTCTTGTAGATCTGGCTGGCCTCAAACTTACAGAGATCAATTTGCTTCTGCCTCCCAAGTGTCAGGACAAAGGCGTGTGCCACCACTACCTGGCCATTTTTTTTTAAAAAAATAAAGGTAAGTCAGCACTTCTCAATATATACCAGTTCTTTTATTTATTTATTTGTCTGTCTGTCTGTCTATCTATCTATTTATTTTTCATGACAGGATTTTTCTACATAACAGTCCTGGAACTCACTTTGTATCTATCTATCTATCTATCTATCTATCTATCTATCTATCTATCTATCTATCTATCTATCTATCTATTTTTCATGACAGGGTTTTTCTATATAACAGTCCTGGAACTCACTTTGTAGACCAAGCTGACCTCGAACTTACTGAGATCCTCCTACCTCCCGAGTGCTGGGATTAAAGGCATGCACCACTACTGCCCAGCAGGAGCTACCAGTTCTAAGTGCCACTGAGGCTGAAAACTTCAGATAGAATAAGGTCAAAATTCTCTAGAATATTCCAAGAAATGGTCATTCTTCTCCTCATATCATGATACAACAACATGAAACTAGATGCGATTATTTATAAGCATGCTATTTTTAATTTTGTTGTGTTTAGACAGGGTCTCATACTGTAACTCAGGCTGGCCTGTAACCCACTATGTAGCCCAGGCTGTCCTCCAGCCTCTGCCCCGAGTACTGGGCTTACAGACAAGCAACAGCAAGCTATTCTCCTTCTATCTTCTCTGATGGCTAAACTTCTCATTTTTTAGAGACACATATTGTTCAATTATAAAATGAACATTTGTTTACAATATTTTGTTAGCAAAATAAGCTCCAAGAAATAATCAGCAATTTCCCAAAATGCTTATCTAGAAATGGTTTCTAGTTACAATACAGCTTTCTAATTCTATCATGAACATTTCAAACCCTGCATTGACAAATGAGGGGCTCTGAAATTTAGGATTAACATTGTAAATCTACCTGTTGGTTATGCTTTCCTCTGGAAGCTAGCTAAATATGGGTACAAGTCATGACTGTCACTTACTGGCTGTGTGATCTTGGGCAAATTACTCAACTGTAGCTTCTTCATCTCTTCACACAACACACATATTACTACTGTGACAATCAAATGAAAGGCAGTTTAGCATTCCTAGCACCAGGTGCTCAATAAATAGGTGCAAGATAATTATTAGCCTATCAACCTTTCCAGGGCCGTATCTTGTTTGTATGCAGGCATGTGCATGCAAGCAGAGGCATGGGGCGGACACCAGGGGCCTTTCATCAATTGCTGTCCACCTTTATTTTTTGAAGCATGGTCTATCCCTGAACCTGAAGCTCACTGATTCCACTAGGCTGGCCATCCAATGAGCTTCACAGATCTACTCCACTAGGATCTGAACTCAGGCGCTCATATTTCCCTACCAATAGTCATTTCCCTAGCCCCTGTAGGAGCTATATCATATTTAAAATGTTATCCTCAATACTATTGCTTAAATACAGTCTGAGAGTACCCCCCAACCCTTCATGTGTTAGAAGCTTGGTTCCCCAAGGTAGGATGTGAAGAGGGAGTAGCACCTCTACTGGAAGAGGCTCCTGGGACGCTGTCCTGGGAAAGAGATCATGGTATTCTCACAGGATCCCTGAGTTAGTTTTATAAAAGTCAGAGCCCATCTCCTAAGTTCTCTGCCACTTCCTGTCTTCTAGGAAGGATTTCCCTCACACTCTACCGTCATCTACCATTCACTGTGACTAGGGAAGCAGCCTCACCAGAACTGCTGACATGCTGGGAGGACTTTCAGTATCATCCACAAACAGGCTGGTTCACTTATCTAGGTATGGCAAATAGTGCTTATCAATCTTTGTTGTCATATGATAAAAAATCTACCACATCATAATGGGAAAATATCTCGTGACTTTGTTAAGCAAAAAAGAAAACAAATACTTTATGTTCATCATTGATTATAATTATATGTATGTATTTTTATAGATGGAAACTAGGAAGAAATAGGAAAATATAAACATCTAAGTGTAAGGTCAGTGGTATTAAAGAAGAAAAATTCTCCCTTTTCAATTTCCTTTTTGTTGTCATAATTTACAAAAGAAAACCTTTATGCCAGAGGACTAAAATGACTATTATATAAATAGAAAATTTCTTGTACTTCTTTACTGTTGCTGTTTTAATCAAACCCATAAAGATTGAAGCCGGGTGGTGGAACATCCCTCTAATCACAACACTCTGAAAGCAGAGGTAGGCAGATCTCTGTGAGTTTGAGCTAGCATGGTTTACATGGCTGGTTCTAGGACAGCAGAGCTACACAAAGAAGCCCTATCTTGAAAAACAAAAACAAACAAACAAAAAGATAAAATCAAGTCATTTCAATGTGAATAATTTTGCCTCATTTGTTTCTGAAATTAAAAAAAAGAACAGATTTTCTAATTGTAACATGTTCCAAAATTAGTCTGCTGACTGTAAACAATCTTAGAGCTAGTCAATGCATGCATATACTGTTTTTAGATACTAGACATCAGAGGGCACAGGACTATAGTCCCCAGGAATCAGTGTTTTAAGAAGGCTCTAGGCGATTTTGACACACCCTTGTCAGTCTCTTGTGGTTCTTGTAGATGAGCCATGGTGTTTGTATTAACATAAAGTTCTCTAAATCTTCAGGCTTTTTGTATTCGGACTGCAAGCTTATTTTCCTAGTTCTTTAAGAAAGTCCTGTTAAATATGTATCCCTTTAGAAAAAAATTCTTATAGAAACTGAAAACTTGCAAGCATTTTAAAAAGAGGAATCAGATGGGTTGTTTTAATGTGAACTTTTAAAATTTCTTACACTTCTGTGAAGCTGGTATTACTTCTGCATGTTTAAAATAAATGAACATGTAAGCAAATTACAATTCTGAGGTTTTCTGCTTTTTGTTTTTTCTTTGTAGGTCTCACTAGGTAACCCGCCTGACTTTAAACTCAATATCCGTTTGACTAAGCCTTCTGAGTGCGGAGATTACAGGCATGCTCCACACACTTAGCTCCTCACAGCCATTTTCTCTGTGTGTAACTATGCACACCTGTGCAGAGGGCATGGCGGCCACGAGGTGTCTTCTTCTGTTGTTCTATTTTACTCTGTCGAGATAGGGTCTTTTACTGAACATGGAGCTCACTTGTTTTTTTGTTTGTTTGCTATTATTTGTTTTTATTTTTGTTTTAGACAGGGTCTCTCTCTAAGTAGCCTTGGCTGTCCTGGAACTCACTCTAGACCAGGCTGGCCTCGAACTGTGAGATTTGCCTGCCTCTGCTTCCCAAGTACTGGGACTAGTGGCCTGTGCCACCACCGGCAGCAACTTTATTGCTTCTATGAGTTGTAATGTAGAAGTATCTGATATGTGACCCCTGTGAAAGAGAATTGTGATCCACAGGTTGAACACAACTGGCTTAAATGAGAAGATCTGAAAGCTCAACAACATCTAATATAATTAATATAATTAAGAGGGCCTCTACTGCACTAGCTGACAGTTCTCCCAACCCGTACCCATGGATACGGCCCTCATACAAAGAATCTTTTCCAATCAAAGATAACAGGCAGAGCTCCTGCTATCCCCAAGGATCAGCATTCAGTTCCCTGTCAACCCTTGAAATTACTCCAATAACCAAACATATTCTCCTGTGGTAACTGCATGGCACCTGATCCTACTGAAACTATCAGCCCTGTTTTACACTGTCCACCACTTGTGAGTAGAGCTACCAGTGGGCCTGTGGAAGGCATGGTGTCTTTTTCACTCCAGCCTTTGAGTAATACAATTAATAGTCTGCTGCCTGTCACATCTGCCAGTATTGGGTATTTGGGCATCCCCACAGCTACACAGTAGGAATTTCTCCCTCAGTAGGGGACGAATTAGTGATTAAAATGCACCAACATGAGGGTAATGTAATCATGACATGGAGATCAAGGGATTGGATTTCACATGGTGGCTCAAATGTGAATAATTTGTGTGCCCATTCATCCTGAGAGTCTAGCTGGAGGCTGAGGGGGTCAGAAGTCCTAAGGGGCAGGGCCCAGGGAAAGACACAAAGGCTCCTCCCTGGGCAAGATCTCTTCTCTTAGAAGGGACCACGCTCAGCTCTTTCCCCTCACTCATATTTCTGTTCAACTCCATCAGAAAGACTCTTCACAACCTACCTCAAAACCACTTCCTTCCCTATCACTTTTCCCTTCTGGTTTATTATTTTAGCACTCTCTGACACAGGAATGCATGCCTGTGCACATCTGCCTCTTGGCACTGAGACAATCTTTCTTGT